CATCTTGACAATATCAAAACTTTGTTGCACATATCCTCTTGCAAAATTCAAATGTGAGGCTTTTCAAGGATTATCACATCGCATCAGAGCAACCTGAACATTAGTTACGTAGACTTCTATATTGAAAAAAAGAGTTTCAAATTCTCCCATTGCCCATGGCACTTTTTCTTGTATATGGCATTTTCATTTCTGCCTTGTTTGAAATGTAACAACAGTGGCAGCTGTAGCTATTGACAAAGTGTGGACTGTGGGCAAACTGCTTCAAGGAGACATTTCCTCTCCGTGAGACACACTCCACTCCACTGATATAGCAAAACATCCTACAAGTGCAAATGGTTCCACCTTGATGAAGAGCTAAGTTCACCCAATCTACCTCAACTAGCCAATGTGCCTGGTAAACAGCAGTGAAAGGAAGTAAAGCAGCTGCTCCAATCCATGAATTAAAAGCACGGCATAATTTCATAGATGACAAAACTAGCTGCCTTGGTTCCATGCAGCTTCTGAGTAAAATTCAAAGTGCTGGTAATACCTATAAAGCCCTGTATGACATAGGGCCTTGCCCCAATTGTCTCCTATCGTTTCTGCCTGCTCAGTATGTTTTGGCAGAGTAGGTGTGCTAAGGAGAAATTTCTTGACAGTGAAAACAATCAAATAGTGCAGGGGTGTTAAACTCGCACCTGCAGGCTGGATGTGTCATGTGCTGGCCTCGGCCCCGCCCAGTTTAGCGAAAGAGAAAAAAGTCCCAATATATCACGTGACACCGCGAGTTTGACACCCCTGAACTAGTGGAACAACTTGCCATCAAAAGTTGTGGGTGCTCCATCACTGGAGGTTTTTAAAGAAGAGATTGGATAGGCATTTATCTGAAATGGTATAGGCTCTCCTGCTTGAGTAGGGGGTTGGACTAGAAGACCTCCAAGGTCCTTCCAACTCTGGTGATGTTCTTTTTTGTCCCGTTCCATTTGTCATCTGGTGGGGTTGAAGTAGCATGTGCCTCTCCTTGGCAACAGCATCCCACCAGAGAAGAACGGCATCTTCTCTTCTAGGATTCTGGAAAGCTCTGGAAACCTGGAGCTGATGTATTATTGTTTGCGTAGAGTCTAGAACCAATTTTTGTTGTCTGTAAGATTATTTTAGTCTGGGCTATCAATTTGGCTTAATATTTTGCTCTATTTTTAATGGTTGTTCTAGTTTTGTACACTGCCCAGAGTCTATTGGAGTTCATTGGTTACTAAATTCAAACAAAATATAAACAAAGTATAATCCCCTTTTACAGTCACTTTGGGATTAACATATAAACTTCCTGTAGCAGACCCAGAATTTCAGCAAACCTGGAACATGGATCCTTTTAGTATGTCCAATGACAGAGTTTTGTAAATATGTGCGTATGTACATTTTTTTCATCTGGGGCACCACAGAATGCAAAATATTGTTCAAGGAATTGAATATGCACAAGCCTGTCTTTTACAGGTATCATCAAAAGGGTCCATTTACTTTCTAAGATTTTATTTTTTTATTATGTCAATTTTATAAGATTGTTCTTTTGCAATATTGCTCCATTACAATCTCCCAAGACAGGTGCTCCTGCCTAGCTGAGCTTTTAACATAGGGGTGCTAAACTTGCATCGTAATGTCATCATGTGATATATCGCAACTTCCCCCCCCCCCCTGTTCGCTAAACCAGGGGTGGTCATGACCAGTGCATGATGCATCTGGCCTGTGGGCCACAAGTTTGACACCCCTAACAGGACCCTGAACCCAACCATAAATCTACTAATCAGTCATTCACGCTTGCTAGCTGATTTACTAACAACTCATAAGCAGCCTTTCTCAACTTCAAATGTGTTGGATCACATGCCTTAATTTCCACCAGGACCTACTGGCCGAAGGTTTGGGGAATTGTGGCTCATTGCAATTGAGAGGACTTCAAATTGATTATCACTCTTGATGCAACAATACTGTATAGCAAGTTCTATTTTCATGGCCACTTGCATGCCTTCGTATTCCGTTTCCAACTTCTGGATGTAAAATATTTATATGAGCATGTAATTTTCAGATTGCAAGTCCCAGAAACTTAAGCAATTTAGACATGCCACTTAACATGAGGAGAACTGTAATCAGAAAACTCAGATTTCAGATTAGGAAATTTCAGATTAGGAGATTTCAGATTCCTAGGGTCTGATTTGGAGCACATACAGCAAGGCTCTCACTGACCTTCAAAATATCAGCATGCCAAGCAACTGCAGTTGAGCCAGACCTAACTAAAGCAAGCGAACCAAATAAGGACTGATCTCATGTACCATGCTAAAACATGATTTATTTGGTCAATAAGTCAGTAGCATGCCATGCTATGCCATAAACCATGGTTTAGAAATCACAGTGAATGTATTCATATGGGCACTAAGTCAACTGCACTGTGTGAGACCAATGTAGAAACACCAGAGAAAACAGGATATGGGAGGAAAAATTTCTCTACCAAGAATTCATTCCATCCCAAGATAAGTCATAGAAAAACCAGCTGACCATACACCTAAATCCAACATTTGCTTTTACTTATATAAGATGATTCAAAGCTCATTCAACTGGATTACAAGCAAGGCCAACTCTATTTCAGAAAGCCTTTGTATATGTTGGATCTCTTCTCTCTTCCTTCCCCCATCCCTTTTTCTCTTCCTAGCTACTGCCTCTATCTGTTTCTCTTACTTAAGATCTTAGCTACCAACTGGTTCCCCACCCACTACCTCAGTAAAAAAAAAAACTCTGCAGGAGGAAAGTACTTTCAGTAAAGAGTCTAATCAGTGTTTGGTTTCACTCTACTTCTTCTGAACATTATCTTAGATTACAGCATTATGGCCAATATCAAAACTGAGTATTGTATTTAGAGTACGTTAAGACACTGATAAACTGGAGTGGAGGGGAAATAAGATCAGTTCAGCTTCACTGAAAATTGTGGCTGCCCACAGAGTCACATAATTTATCTAAGCATGACAATCTCTGATGACAAACGTGACTGGTAGCACTCTTTAGGAAGATTACTCTTACAAGAGAAGGTTTCTGCTTTTCCTCAAATCAAATCAACTTTAAATTCTCTGTAGCATTCTCTATGGAGATTCTCAATCATTCAGGCCATGTCCCAAAGGTGCTTTCCCATAAAGGTAACTGGACTTTCTTGAGTTTTTTTCCGGAAATGTTTCACTTCTCATCCAAGAAGCTTTTTCAGTTCAACTGGAGTATTTGTCGCATTACACAATAATACCATTTACAGGCTTGTTCTGTTTTGGTACCCTGCCCCACCAAATAAAATTCAAACTCAAATGCTTTTTGGATTTCAATGTTTGAAACATTTCAAATGCATATTCTCTTAAAAAAAAAATTAAATTATTAAAGATAGATCTGTGTGACAAGCTTCATTTTGGACTTGATAGCTGGATTTTCTCTCTCTGCCACAAACTCTACAGTATTTTTTAGCAACAGTGTGGCAAGAAGAAACTAAGTATTATTATATCTGGTGGAATAGGAAGAAGGGGCCAGTTACTCATGTAGAGCAGGGATCCCCACCCCCAGTCCGTGGATTGGCACCAGTCCGTGCAAACAAGCAAAGCCCCATCCGCGGGAGGCAGACAGCATGCAAAGCCACGCCCCCTCCAGTCCGTGGAAAACCTTTCTCCATAGAACCGGTCCCTGGTGCAGCATAGCAACAGCCTACACAGCAGTGCCAATGAACAGTGTTCAAAGTCATGAGATCTTGAAACCCATGGTACCATTTGCTTGTTTTCTGAAATGATGGCTGAGATTCTAGAAATTCAAATGATATAAAGCATGTTAGGCTTGGAATTCCACATATGTGAACTAGTTCCATGGAGTCATTTTACCTGCAGCACTAATCTGCCCCCACAAACTCACTAATCCTTCATCCAAAATCAAAAGATCCCATTTTCTCCTTCCTTTCCGTTAACTTCCTTTCCATTAGGCCACAAAAGTTTTGGAAGTGATTCCCCAAAAAATTCCAAAAATTATTACCATCTTGCAATTTTTAGTATGACTGTAATTGTATTTCAGTTATAATAAATATATAACCGGAAAGTAACCAATTGACATTGTCATGAAACGTCAGCATCAAACTAAATTAATGGCTCCCATCAATCTGCTCAATAGCCAAGGGAAGCTTTCAGCCTAGAAGAAAACATGCACCTTTGTACTCATTCACAGGCTTCCTTTTTTTTTTTTAACCAACACATCATTTTTACCTGCCACAGCAAGGCGATTCCATAGATGGACTCCAGCTGCTGCTGATTCTGCTGTGCAATGGTGACTCCTAACACAAGTGTGTGGATGCCACAAGAAATGGCTGAGATAAGAACAATGGGCATGAGATGCAAGGGCAGGGTGATGAAGAAGGAGAAGATAAAAAAGGCCTGCCATCCAACTGTGTCACTGGCCTCATGGTAGCAGGCAAAATTCAAACCCAAGTAGCAGAATATCTGAGCAGCTATCAGTATCCACAGAATGTATGGCATGAATTTCCGGGTGACACGATCAGGCAGGAGTTGATACTTGCATAGGATAAAGAGGAGAATCTGGGCAGCCAGGCCCACTGATGCTGCCACAGTAGGTGCCAGCTTCTCTGAAGTGTACACCACTGTGCACATGATGATAACGTAGCAATCAAAGAGGGCTGCAAAGACCACCAGGACCAGCAAAGTCTCATGGCGCTGCCTCCGGAAGTAGGTCTGGTAGAGGTTCTCCAGGGACTCAGGGGCAAACGTGAGTCGCATAAAACGGGGCAGACATAGGCAAGAACCCGAGTTCCTCACCGTCACCTCATGGGTCCGGCCGACCCCATGCTCAGGGTCAGAAGGCAAGCTGACTGAATAGTCTGCAGAATACTCTGCCGAGTATTCAGGCTCAGAGAATGCCCTATTCCGAGGCATCCTGCTGGTTTCCACCACCCAATTCTTAGATACTTTGTGAAGAGAATCTGCCTAGAAGCCAAAAGTTACCTCAGCGACAGTTCAGCTCCCAATAACCTGGAAGGCATGGAAGCTTTAGGAGCAGGTATTCAGTGCCTTCTTCCAGTGACAACTTTCAGGATGTCATCTTCCCAACACATGACAGCTCCTGACTGAGAGAGAAATATATTAGTAGGGGGGGAAAAGACAGACTCCCTTCCCTTCAAATCTGGCCTACTATAACATGAGTTGAATTTCTATCAATATCCAAGCTATAAAAACCAACACCATCAGCTGTCACTCCCATTTCCCTTTGATACCCAAATGAATTTTGTACTAAGAATACATTAAAAATTAACATTTTGCAAACACAAGTGACTATAATATATGACTAAGTTTCAGAAGCATTTTATTAAAAAGCTTAGTCAGTCTAGTTTTTATAATTTCAGACATCAAAGCAACTGGCTTCTAAAAATATAAGGAAGATAAAACGAAGTTACTTTTCTAATCAATCATTATATATTTGCTTCTTTTACCTTTTCTAGCTTCTGTTTCATGCCCATGCCCCTAAATCAATAACGTTCACAGTCTTTCATCTGGATTAACAAAACTCAATGGCTATATTCACATTATTGTACAGGCAGTGCTCAAACAAACTATATTATCATGCCTTGATTTTGCAGCATACTGAACCACTGACCCAATCTGATTTAAGCCTTGTAAATTCATTCAATAAATATAGAAACAGGAAATTTTGGGGCAAATATTGGATTCATTCCCTCCTGCTAATTTACAGCAATCATCCAAATCTGGTCAGAAAAGGGTCCTGAATCCATAAGGTAGAAAGAATAGAAGTAAGTTGGCCACTCTGCCTGCGCCCTCCCACAATCTTCCTCAGTTCTTCCATCAGGTCCAGTATCTCCCTGCTCAGTTTCATATTCACAGAAAATTGCTCTCCCTTCTTACCAGTTTCCTCAGTAGTGTCTGCGAAAGTAGGTTGGCTAAAATCTTTGGATCAGGCCCCATTGAAACATCTAAGCTTGTGTGTATATTCAGCTTCCTCCCACACAGAGAAGGAGTGACAAAGGTGGGAATCAAGTCTGCCAAAGACTCTTCTTACGGCCTCTTCCTGGCTACCACTTTGAGATGGAGAGCTTGACAAAGGGGGAAAATGAAGCCTCTTCAGCAGCAACCCAGCCCAAATAAAGCCACCATCTTTTCAGAAGAAACCCCACTTTCTTTCCACCAGAGAAGTCCAGTTCAGCTATGCCCCTTCCTCAGTTTTCTCTATTCATCCATGTCACATGGAGCCTCTGGATTCATCTGTACCTCCGGTTTGGGACCTGTGATCTACAATCATCTTTCTCTTTCTTGCTCCCCCCACCAAGGTGTGCGGTTGGTTATTTCTGTCACTGGACGACCCACGTTCTTGCTGCTGTGCCTGCGAGGGTTTGCGTGTGTCCCTGCACAAAAGGGAGAGATTTTTTTTTTTTTTAAAAAGGTCTCCTCCCTGAGCTGCAGGCGAAGAAAAAGGAGGAGCAAAGCAAGGCCTCTTCGCGAACGATGAAGGAGACCGAGGGTGGCGGTGGTGGGGATGGAAAGAACTCAAAAAAGTGCCAAACAAACACCCACACGTGTCAAAACGCCGAGCTACTGAGGGCTGGGAGTTGGCTTCCCTCTCGCCTTCCGAAAAACGTCACACGGCACAAGGCAAGACGGAGAATCTTCCACGGACTGATGATGGAATGGTCGGGAATGGCCGGACTTCTGCCCCCAAGAAGCTCCAGAGTGGGAGAAGATTCAAGCCAAGAGGCATCTCTCACGGAATCTCTGCTAACCAGGAACCTGGTGAAAGAGGAAGATGCCTTTTGCTTTCCCGGCGCTCGCAGCCCAAGTGGGGCTGCTCTGGGAACGGCGCCTCTGCCCAAGTTGGCGGTCGCTTCGAGGCTCGCTCTGAGGGCGCCAAAGCGAGATGGACTGCGCGAGCTCGCCGTCAGACCTCGGCCGGTTCGGTAGCCCTTGGCCAGGCTTCCACGTCGAATCTCCCCGGCCCGCGAAGAAGGATCGCTCCGGGAACCGTGCCGCCTCTCTTCTCCTGCGGCGGCGGCGGCAGCGGCAGCGGCGGTTCTCTTCGCAGGCGCAAGCGCCTAGCGCCAAAGAGCAGGCTGCTGAGGCGACAGCCGAGGCAACCCCACCCCTGCCAGCCCGTTTCCTCGGCCTCTCCCACGCTCTGCTCCGGTACTGGAGAGCCTGGGAAAGGAAAACCGGCACAGCTGCCCAAATCCCACCCTTTTTCTCTCGGCCCCTTGGAGAACTAACCCTTTGTGCTCTGGGCCGACAACATCCTGGCAGGAAGGATCCACAGCTCACCTGGGGCCACTCCTGCTTTTTCCCGCCACGCGGTTATTAAGATGCCCAAAGCTCCGCCGTCCTGGTCTCCACTAAACTTTCTAGAAAGATACCCTGGACACTTTCGGCAAAGTGCCTTGCCATCGTTTTCATGCACTCTCGGTTTGAACCTGAGGGTTTAAAACAGGCCTGGAAAGTTCTAAGAAACGGAAAGACTAGATTCACAGGTTGCTTAACTATAACATCACTTGTCCAGTTTTGATTTTCATCTGTACTGTATTGTGAGCCTTGCAATATATTCAGCCGAAATAGAATACAACAGAATAATAAGAGTTGGAAAGCACCTTGGAGGTCTTTTAGTTCAACCCTCTGCTTCAAGACCCTGCAGACAAATGGTTCTCCTGGAAGCTTTTGAAAGCCTCCGGTGATGGAGCATCCACAGCTTCGGAAGGCAAACTATTCCATTGGTTGATTGCTCTCACCCTTAGGAAATTTCTCCTTGGTTGCTTCTCTCCTTGGTTAGTTTCCATTCATTGTTTCTTGTCTTGCCTTTTGGTTCTTTGGAAAACAGTTTAGAACCCGCTCGTCTTTATAGGAGCCCCTCAAATATTGGAACAGTGCTGTCATGTCTAAAGATGGACTCTTAATCAACACAGGGGTTCACTTATGTAACACTACTCACCATGAATTGATTAGAGATGCTTTGTTGTCTAGCAGGAGTCACATGCTATGTTAAGGTAAAACCAAATAAACCATTACACCATGCATGACCTCAATCAATGTGTCTTCACTATGGTTTGTTCAGCCTATAAAATGGGAGCATGAATGACTCATGTGTGAGCAATAAGTATTTTCATAGCCAACTTTTATTATGTTCCTGCAATAGAAAGCTAGGAAAAACAGTTTATAGAGCTACTAGAACCTCTTTTGTCTAGTGGTTAAAGTGCCAAGCAAGAAAGTACCTGGGCCATGAGTTCTGGTTCCACCTTAGCCATGAAAGCCAGCTAGGTGGCTTTGGACCAGTCCCTTTTTTTGTCATACCCACGTCACAGGGTTTTGTTTTTTTTATGGGGAAAAGAGGAGGAGGAAGGAGTATTAAGTATATTCACCACCTTGAGTTATTTGTAAAAATAATAAAGGCGGGATATAAATAGAGAGGATGGATGGATGGACGGACAGACAGACAGACGGACAGACAGATGCATAGCTAGATGCATAGATACATAGATATACAGATAGATGGTTTTGAATGTTTATCTCATCAGCCTGATGAGCTTACCAAATAATTTTAAATAAAAGATTCTTCACCATGGCTTAAAGTGAGAAAATTACACTGCAGTACAGTATTAAAATAATCCTTTTATAAATATTCATCTAAATTAATTACCAGAGCTAATATGTGTTTTAACTACATTAGTGGGTGGTTGGGTCCATTAAATTAGATACTGCGTGGAAAGTATTTTTGAACTTAAATGCTATTATGCCACTCTCCTCCAACTCAGAAATGGCCATGCAGGCTGAGAATTTGGGAGGTTGGAGTCACCAGCATTATGAAGATCCATATATGAAGCAGCCAGCACATGTATGTGTGGCTAGTGTTGTGCTTTGGATCACACTGCCTTTATACTAGGAAACCAAGTTATGATTAGTCAAAGGGGGGGGGGGAGGGACTGCACAGTATCATGTGAATCTATTTTGAATTAGGAAATAAAACTTCTGCCCTTGATGAGAAGTTTGTAGTCCTTCCCCCAATAGTTTCATCATAGGCAGATTTAAATTAAGATGTATGGCAGCTGTCCACAAACTAGGGAAGAATGATTATGAAGGTGAAGGATTTGGAAAGTCGAGTAAACAATGCCAGAGTTATGACTTACCTCAATTTGCATCCCTACCCCACCCACTGGCCTTGAGAATTAGTCTCCTTCCCCTTTTCTTCCCCTGTCCATCTCTTTATGTACCTTGCCTATTTTAGGCTGTAGCCTAAGGGCAAGGTCTGTGTCTCTTCTAATTGATGTGAGTCATTTGGGGAGTGATCATCTGTCTGAAAAAGCAAATAAAAAATGCAATGAAAACATTAAGGGTTAAATAAATATGAAGGGGAGACACAATTGCTTTCTTTTGATACATGAAAGTTTGCTATCAGAGAATGAAATAGACTTGCTGTCTGTTGCTTTGGAGGGCAACAGGGGACTGTTAATGGAGGAAAATAACCAGGAAGCTGATCAGGGATAAAATGAAGGATAAACTCCTTCCTAGTGTTGAGAGGTGTTCAAAAGCAGAACTGCCTCAGGAAATCACCCATTCCTGGATGTTTTTGAGATGTGCATGTTACAATTATTTAACTCCTTCAAATGAATTGTTTTTTTAATTAATTTCTTAGATGTATTATATCAAAATAATATAAATCAATGACATTATTAAAGCATGGATTTTAGATGAAATGGGTTTCAACTAATGCGAACTGCTTTTCCCCATAAGAATGGCATCCAAGTCCACCTTGGACTGGTCCATAACTAAAGTACATATATCCAAAACCTAACCCCAATACTTACAGAATCCAGAAGAGCCATTTAAGCTGAAGCCTGCTCCCCTGGTAGCTATTGCTCAATTGCTCCTTACCACCCACACTATCACATTCTGACCAGCTTAATTTCCAAGTGATCTTCAAGGCCATTCCATATAGTGTATGTTGCAATAATCCAATTACAAGTGGCCAAAGTGTGAGTGACTATGAACAGGGCCTCCTGATCCTGAATTTGTGCAAAGGTCTTCCTAGCCATGACTTCCCCCTACTCTTCCGGTAGGAACCAAGTGTTTAGGCAGTTATTCTGGTGAAGAGTGCTATTCCAGCCAGAACCAATGATGCAAATCCTCTGATTGGTGGTCGCAAAATCCAGAGTCACTTGGTCTTGTTAGGGTTGAGCTAAACTCATTCCTCCCCATCCAGCCTCCAGACATTGAAAAGCAAGACTGAGGGCATCATTTGGTCAACCGAGGGTAGTGATGCATATAGCTAAAGCCTCAGTTGAATTGTGCACTAAAACCACCACCACCCCGGGTACAATCGTGTGTTTCTTTAACCAACCTACTGGTGTCCATCAGGTACCACAGTCAGTCCAAACAAATGGATCCTATTCCCCTACAATGGGGAAACTGCTGTGGAGATTTTCAGAGTGAGTTGACTATCCCACCCACCCAGATCACATCACTATAATATTGCCCTATAAGCACTACAAGATCAAACCAAGGAACAGATAGGCCTAAAACTTTTTATTAGAACGGCCATATTAAAATTCCAGTGTATCTCTCCCATTTGTGTTTTATCTTCTTGAGCAAAGGTCCCAAACTTGGCAACTTTAAGACTTGTGGACTTCAATTCCTAGAATTCTCCAGCCTGCTATGCTGGCTGGAGAATTCTGGGAGTTGGAAGTCCACAAGCCTTAAAGTTGCCAAGTTTGGGGACCCCTGTTCTTGAGCATACAGGCTAAATCCACATTGAACTGTTTGTAGCTTTGGCAATGGGTCATCTCACTATGTCAAGGTTGTCCTTTATATTTCCAATATGCCCTTAGATAAAGACCAAATTTAGTATGTGACCATAGTGTGTATGTGTTATGTATATTTTTATGTATGTGCATACTTGGTTTACAGCCTTCATATCCTTGAAGGGAGTGGAATTAATTCTTCTATATAGTTTTCCAATAAATATTTGGAAGTTCTTTTCAAGATACTTAATACTACAAGTAGTCCTTGACTTAAGATCATAATTGAGCCCAAAATTTCTGTTGTTAAGTGAGACACGTGTTGAGTTTTGCTGCATTTTATGACTTGTCTCATTTGTTCAGTGAAACTTGTTGTTAAGTGATTCTGGCTTCCCCATTGACTTTGCTTGTCACAAAAGGTGACAAAACATGACCTTGGGACACTGCAACAGTCAGTTGCCAAGCATCTGAATTTTGATCACATGATCATGGGGATACCGCAAAGGTTGTAAAATGGTAATAAGTCACTGCTTTCAGTGCCATTGCAACTTTGAATATCTTTATTGTCATTGCATTCCACGAATCCAATGAAATTTGAATGCTACTCCAGCACAGTGCCCCAAACACCACATCACAATCATACTACAGAGTATTTAAAAATATAATAATAATAATAATAATAGGAAGAGGAAGAGGAAGAAGACTACTGAATCACATATGCACTGTTTGATTCAAGACAATTACTGCCTTGGAAAAAAAAACTGTTTCTCAATCTATTAGTCCTCATTTTAAGACACCTATAACGCCTCCCTGATGGTAACAGTTCGAAATATGAACGTCCAGGATGAAAATGGTCTGTGGAGATTTTTAGTGTTTTCGAGAGGAGTCTGGTCTTCACAATCTCTTCCAAAGAAGAGAGCAACCAATGATTTTTTGTGCTGTGTTTATCATCCTTTATATTAACAAAGACTGGGTATCAGATTCCTGTGTACCTTAATTCTACTTTCTATATTTAAGGGTGAAAGAACAACTCTGTAATGAAAGTCATACTGGCAGCAACTAGATAAGAAATACTAACACATTGGAAAAGCTGCTTGGGTCATTCAACAGATAAGTGGATTGGGAGATTATAGAAATAGCTTTGGCTGAGAATATTAATGCAAATGGACTTTCCTAAGGAAATACCTTGCTTTGGCCTCACTGATACATGCTTCCTATTCATCACACATGTTA